TCCAAAATATGACCTTGTTCCAACATATAGTTGTTAGGGCTCGTACATAAGTATTAATTATACTATAAAATTATCATATACGGTGGCAGAAGGTTTTTGTCACTCTTATAACTACAATTATAAATAAAATAACAAACGAAGCGCTTGTGTGAATACATAAATTAAGGTTGATGGGCGGATACTCAAAAGAAAATGTTAAATATACGACACATATACCGGTCTTTCTTCTTTTTGATTTGTAATTCTATATAAAAATATATTTCAAACGTTCCTATATAAACCTTTCAAAGGTATTCCAAATATAAACATCATTTTATCCTCACTGTATCTTGCTATAACCGTTGATTATAATGCAAACACATGCAGGCGTAATAAAATATGCATCATAGTATGGAACAGACTGTTACACCCATTAGTCGGTGTTTGGTGTTAAAAAAAGGAAAATAAAAAAGGTAAAGCTTTAAAACCAGCTCAAAACAGAATTGTGCAATTTTTCGTTATTATTTTTTACAAGTAGGTGAAAAAAGAACACAACTTTTTTAATATCTGGAGGGTTGAAGAAAATTTATTTTAGATTACATGTATTAAACGAAGTTATATTTTTCCGTCCTTTATGTTACTGGAGTATTTATAAAATTACGTTTTTAAGTGCGTAAAATTTTTGATTAAAAAAATACGCTGTATGTACAGGGTGTCCCATTTTGGTTGAAATCATACGGTATCTCGGTTATTAGTAAAGATAGGAGGATGCGGTTTGCACAAACCTGTCCCACTTTTTTGTCAAACGAAACATGCTGTAAACAAAATTTTCATAGCCCTCTTGGTTTCTGAGCTACAGGGTCTTTTCGAAAATTTTGCAATTTGGGACAGCCCCAGTATCTCCGTTATTGTGGATAATATGGAGAAGGTGAAAATTGATTCTTGTAGAACTTTTTAAAATACAGTGGCGTAGTCTATTTTTTTACGGAAAAAATATTTTTGAAAATATGAACTAAAGTTATGTTTTTGCAAATGGAACGCCCTGTATATTTATAAATCATATGATCCGTCTTTCTATGAGCTTCTCAAAAATATATATCACTCTATATTTATTTTCAATATTTAAAATATATAATTTTTTTATTAGTAGGCCGTGATAAATAACATAAAAATCAAAATGGTATTTACTAAAATAGTCATACACACATTAAAATTTTATTTGGCATTGATACATTTTTCTTTTGAACTGTTACCACTAAATCTCTGAATATATCTTTCTTTCTTTATAACGGAATTTATTATAACGGGATGGGTTTGCATATATCTAAAAGCTTGCATTATTAAAGCATTTTCCAGGTGTTCGACATTGTTGTAGTTGCCACGAAATATTTCATATTTTAAAAATCTCCAAAATCAGAAATCGAGAACGGACAAATCCAGGAATCAGGGAAGCCATCATATGGGTCCATTGCATTGATTCCAATTCATTGATTTGAGAAATAATAATTTAACAAAATTCTAATATTTTCAAAGTTGTTAGGGAAAGCCCCTGCAAATCTTGCTGAAAGTATATTTCACGTAAATTAGCTAAAACATATCTAAAAGTTTCGGTACGATTACTTTCAAGATTTACAAATAGCGGTAGAGAGTTTTCCTAATATTTATAGAAAAAATGTATTAGTGGCCCCTAAAGTAAAACAAGAGATAGACAGCAGTATATTGTTAATAATTCTTTATTTTCTAATTATCAATCATGGCCAAAGTCATGACCTACTAATAAATATGATTTTTTAATAAAAACTTCTTAATATTGCAGTAAATAGTGAAAATAAATATAGAGCGATATATATTTTTGCTTATGGCAAACCAAATCATATAATTTATAAATATAGAGGGTGTTCCATTTAAGAAAACATAACTTTAGTTCATATATTCAAAAATATTATTTTCGTAGAATAACAGACTACGCCACTGTATTCTCCGTAAAAAGTTCTACAATAAACAGTTTTTACCTTCTCGATACCTTTCGCAATAACAGAGATACGGGGGGTGTCCCAAATTGCAAAATTTTCAAAAAGACCCTGTAGCTCGGAAACGAAGAGAGCTGTGAAAATTTGGTTTACAGCATCTTTCGTTTGACAAAAAAGTGGGACAGGTATGTGCAAACCGCATCTTTCTATCTTCACTAATAGCGGAGATACCGTATGATTTCAACCAAAATGGGACACCCTGTACATTATTTTCGATATAACATTAACTAAATTATATATAAATTATCTATGGTATAATAAGTCTTATTAATTACAATTATTTTGGACTAAACATTTTTGTAATCTATGTAATAATATATATTGACCCTATTAGAAAAGTGTACACCTATATATTTATTATATTAAAAGTTGTTTACATTTATTTTACCCTTCAAATACCCTATCTCAAATTTACTATCCAACTCGTTAAAGGGCAATGCCGAAGGCGAATAGGGGTTAGGGTACTGAAATATTGAAAAAAAAAATATTGACCTTATCTCAAAAGTTTACACCTCTAACCTTAGTATATTAAAAATGCCAATTTAGGTCTATGTTATTTTGATAAACCTATTTGGTATTTACTGTCAAGTTCCTATAATATACTGACGTATTGTTGTTGAATATACCGTGCTGGCAACTCATACTTTTGGGTCGGTATTTACATGTGTGAAAGTAAATCGCATAGGAATCTTATTAAGTCAGAGCCCAAGAAGCATTTTTTTGTTTTATAAGTGTGTTAGGAAACTTCCCAACACCATATTATACAATTATATTGTAACAACCAACCAAACCAAACCAAACTATTCAAAAATTAAAAAAAATACCGTCCATTTACTTTTAGTGCATAGCAAATTTCAGCAATCGTGTAACTTTTTTATTTGTAGAGTTTTTTTCACATACTGTCTGCGAAGAAAATATAGCAGAAATAAATATTAAGAAAGTTTTTGAAAAAAAACTACAATTAATTATTTCTATTGGATTTCTAGATACCGGTTTTTGATTTCAGAGTTCTAATAGCGCGACCACCGTCGAACACCAATTTTACCAAAAGTGCAAGTGTCACTAATTTGCACTTAAAAATTTACAAGGTATAGGGAAAATTACTACGAATCGTTAATAAACAAATAAAGGACCACGAGACGTAATTAAATGGTGAAGCTGAACGCATGATGTACATATATACATACAGCCGTTACTCGCTGACGAGTATTCGACACCCATAAAGAAGATGGTCACGCAAGGCGTTTTCTTTCATGAGCTTTTCTGTAACTGAAAAGCCCGATACCTGATGTTATCTGCCTACCGCACTCCGGACATTCAAAAATCTCATTGCTTTGTTGCCTCTTTACTTTTTGGTTGTCGCTGTTAACTGAGTTTACAACTCTTCTCCATTGAGTTCTATTGTGAGCTGCTTTTTCCCACTCATTCTGCATGTTAATCCGCTTTAAGTTTTCGTGGAAAATGTCCTTGTACCTTTTCAGTTGTCCACCCGGCCTCCTCTTACCGTCTACAAGCTCACCGTAAAGCAGAGATTTTGGTATGCGGTTTTCTTGCATTCTGCATACGTGACCAGACCACCTTAAGCGGCATTTTGTAACCATGACTTCAATACTCTCGAAGTTAGCTTTTTCAAGGACCGATACGTTTGAGACATAATGGAACCACCGGATTCTTAGGAGTTGTCTAAGGTGTCTCTGTTGCAACTTGTTTAATGCGTTCATGTGTCGGCGGTACGGCACCCAGGTTTCACTCACATATAACATGGTGGGGATTATAATTGCTCGGTACACTGCAAGTTTTGCTTTTGTACCCAAGTTATGATTGTAGAAAACCCTATCTTTTAATTTCCAGAATGCTCTTGAGACGCTACTAATCCTGTGCTGAATTTCAGAGGCAATATTGGCCTTTTCCGAGATCAAACTGCAAAGGTAATTGAATTCCGCCACATATTCCAATAGTTCTTCTCCGATTTTTATAGCATTGTTGTGATCTTCCGGGGGAGTGCACATGATTTCAGTTTTGTCGACGTTTAGCTTAAGGCCCAAAGCCTCGTATGCCCAGGTATACCTATGTGTTCAAGATTTCTTTTAATTGTTGTACCGTGTTTGCAACTAGAGCGCAGTCGTCAGCGTATTGAAGTTCTGTGATGAATTTTATACGTGTATTTGCCCTGAGTCTTTTTATGTTGAACAGACCGCCGTCGTATCTGTACACCCTTCCCTAGAAGTACTGATAGATACTGATTGGGTCGACCGGTCGACCGCGACGAATCTGCTATATCTCCTTCCACGTCTCTTAGCAATGTGCACAGTTTCTCGGTTTAATTCATACGTTTGGCAACGTTTTTACTGTTCTTTCTTTGTTCAGTACATTATAAACGCATTGAACTCTTCTTACATACGGAAATCTCGACCCAAAACTAACCTTTATCAGCCCTTAGTATCTTTAAGAAATATTTATTCAAAAGAATTTCTACACTAAGAGTATTACAATACAAAATATTAGTTTTATTCCGGAATTAATTGCACCTTTTACTACCACATTCTTAATACAAAATTCTGCAGTTACCATAACAATACCCGATACCGATATTTATTTCATTTCACTAGTATAGATACAGAACTGAAATACAACAGACTGTTTATATGGAATTAGACCCGAATAGCAGCAAAGCACGCTTTATTTAGTACATTGTTGAAATTTTAACTACATTTATCAAAATTAAGCATTTACGATGACTTAATTCGTATATTTTTTAATTAGTCCAGAATGCGGAAAGCTGAAATGAATGTGAAAATTTGTTACAGCTTTTTATTATTATTTTTTTGTTTTGTTTCATTTCTGAAATTCTATTTTTTATTTATTGCCTGCAAGAGATAAATTTGTAGAATAATTTTGAAATAAAACATTATTGTGAGGTAACGCAATATTGGAAATGGCTCATATATCTTGTAGGATTGTATTTGAAGTATGTATATATTTTTATTGTAGCTTCAATGCAACACTTTTCCTGATATTGGCACCGAATTGACAAGATATCACTCCAGGAGAAACGAAAAATGGAAGAAGACGAAGAAGAAACCACCATAGACCTTCCGTCCGATAACAATCTAAGAAAAACTTCGTCCACCGTCACCCTAACTCAACAAAATCTTTCCCGAACCACTTCAACATCAACATTAGTTGCTGAATCACTTAGCGCGTCAGACCAACAATCTCCACCTATTGACACCGACGATGAACCCTCCACTCAAACCATTATAGCAGAGCAATGCATCAAAACAGCAACGTTCAAACAAGTCACCAAGCAAACAGCAGCTGTTACCACTTCTGTAGTGCCTCAATGTCAAATCGTTACACAACAGGCCAGCGGGGACTCTATGGAATCTGAGTCTGAAAGTGTATCGCTCAAAGCTAGCCCAAAGTACTCTTTGTTAAATACGCCGCATTCTAGTTCGAGCCAAGAAGACTATGAGCCTGTCAAAGGTCAGTTTTTGACGGCCGGTAGACGTACTGAAACAGCTAGAAGTATGGAGAGCTTGAAAACATCAACACGAAGCTTTTTGAGTACTAGTGAAAGAGATATGAGGAAGGTGTTTTCCGAATCAACGGAAGCTAAAAGTCTCGAGAGTTTTGATCGGGAAATGATTTTAAAACGGCATGCCGTAAGTGGCGAAGGTGCTATGTTGTCATTGAGTACTTCAGCTGAAATAAGTGCAGAGAAAAAAAGAGGTTTATGGTAAAAAAAAAGATTTTTTTTTATTAAAATACGATTAATAACAAAAGTTTTTACAGGTCTGGCAAAATGCGAGTCCCTCAACATTTAAGTTTGCCACCTCCAGCGGGGTATTTGAGTTTGAGTCCCGGAGAAAGAAAACTCACCATTCTTTCACCGCACTCACCTCACAGAGCTCCGGAGTTTATGAGTTTGACGCAAGCAACTTTAAAAACGAGAAGAAAGAAAGCAACTATATTGCCTAGGTTAGTGCTACCACGAAGTGATTCAGATATCAGCGAAGTGTTTTCAGAGCAAGGATTAGAGTAAGTTATAATATATTCTCACATTCTATACAGGCTGTCCAAAATTGTGTTTACTAAACTTTAAAAATTAAGTAAAAGTTTAATTTACACAAACTGGGACAGGCTGTATTAACTAGTGAGTAAAAATATACAATTTGTTAATTATATTTACTACTACCAGGGATCTCTCGGAGGAAAGCGCTTTCGAAGGAAAATTTGGCCGGAGATTTTTAAGGTTAATATTTTTTGCTACTTTACTGGGTGACTGTTTCAGTTTAGAGAGACATTGTTGCTTTAATACACCAATGCACACTTTGTCGCCTTATCCATTAAACCTTGACGTTTTTTGGGTTACCCAGAGCACAAAATACAGTTGACTTAAGGGACTACCCCGTGTATACCTTGCTTTTATGTCATAACAAGAGCTTATTTGCATGAAAAGTTGCAGCTTATGTGTACTACAGATTTAGTCAATCAGATAGGATTGCACACCTTGTATATATTATATATTTTTGTATACGATATATTTTATATAGATATGAACCTTACTTGTAAATATACTGTGTGATCCAGTAAAACGTCACAATAGGCAAATTACATTCGATATTATGGAGCTTTATTACCTCTATATCTAAAGCCCTCTTCGAGTGACAGAGACAGTTGATTTTGTATTATTTGATATTCTTGCTATACATTTAAACAATATACAGGGTGTTCCAGGCTGAGCGTGCATTAAAAGTTTCTAGAGAACCGCAATATCTAGATCGGAGGTTTTTTGTACATCATTGTTTTACAACGAGATCTATCGATTAAAATATTTTCATTATATGGCGGCACTTCCGGAAATACCGGAAGTTGACAGCAACTTTCTTATTTTAAATGGGTGCCCCCATTTTTTATTACATACTTAGAGTCTCTGTAAAATTCTATGAATATTGATATTAAACACTCTATGTCTAACATTAACCGTTTTTAAGAAAAAAAAAATTTAAAATTTTTGGATGAAAAAAACTACCTGTCAAAATTTTTTTTTAGCCTAAAAGTCAAATTTAGTGATTACCACAGCCACTATGACATAAAAAGAAGACATGTGGCTATCTATTTCAAAAATTAAATTGTTCAAATGTCATATAATAATGGCGCTAGCTATCATGGAGTTGACTGATTAAAAAATTATCATAAATCATTTTTTTCAAAGGGAAACCCACTTTTTTATTTCACTAATGGGACGGTTTTTCAATTCGTTATTTTTTAACTATACATGTTCCTATACTTAAAATAAATCGTTTTTAAGTTATTTAAGATTGAGTTTGAAAACGTATATTTTTCTTGATTTTATCTAGCTTGCTTTGACATTAAGTGTCAAACGGTCAGACAATTTATTTCCATCTGTCAGAAAACGAATTATTTGAATTTGTTATTGTATGAATGCCTGCCCTAACAGTTTAAAAAGTGTATTTATAAAATTATATCTCGTATTTTCGCTCTCGATATCTAATAGTTGATATTATTAATAATATTCCGTATCATCGAAAAAAAAACCAACGCAAAGTTGGCTGATGCTCGAAAATGATGCTGCTTTTTGAACAAAGCGCCACAATATGACATGGCCAAACTGGTTAAAATCAAGAAAAATATACGCTTTAAAACTAAATCTTAAATAAATCAAAAACGATTTATTTTAGGTATAGGAACATGTATAGTTAAAAAGTAACTAATTAGCCTTTTCACTAGTGAAATAAAAAAAGTGTGTTTCCATTTGAAAAAAAATATTTATGATAATTTTTTAATCGCTCAATTCTATGACAGCTGCGGCCATTATTATATGATATTAGAACAATTTAATTTTTGAAATAGATAACCATATGTTTTCTCTTTATGTCTTTAGGCTATTTCTGACAGGCAGTTTTTTTCGTTCAAAAATTTTAAATATTTTTTTCTCAAAAACGGTTAATCTTCGATATAGAGTATTTAATATCAAAATTCATAAAATTTTACAGAGAATTTAAGTACATAACAAAAAATGGGGGCACCCATTTAAAATAAGAAAGTTGTTGTCAACTTCCGGTATTTCCGGAAATGCCGCCATATTGACAATATTTTTAATCGGTATATCTCGTTGTGAAACTATGATGTGCAAAAAATCTCCGAGCTAGATGTTGTAATTCTCTAGAAACTTCTAATGCACGCTCAGCCTGGGACACCCTGTATAAAATATAAAAATTACAATGAAATAAAAAGAAAAAAAATCTTGTCTCTGAAAAACAAGAGACAAGATTTTAAACAAATTGTATCTAAAACATATTGTTTTATTATTAAAATAATTTAAAAAAATGTTAAAGCCTCTTTAGATAACTAAGGACAGAGAATGGCATTTAAAAATCTAAAATAAAATGTAAATATTAATATAACAAAAATTGATCTGAAATTTTATGTATATGGCTACTGTACTGTAAGATATTTTCATTCTGTTGCACTGCATTACATACATTGCCAAGCTGACATAAGGTGTATAGGAAATAAATCGTAATAGCTTTATCCATAAACTATAGCGGAATTACATTTGCCAATTTGTCAGTGTGCGGCCATTGATCAGGCTTAATGGTGCCAATACCCGTTGCTTAACTGTGATAAAGAGTGTTATTTGAAGTTTAATACGGATCTATCGGTTTGAAGAAATAAAACTTTTCAGTACTTATCTCTTTAACAAGGCTGACTAACATGTTCACTTCAGAGATAGATACGTGCAAAGCTTGCAATAAATCAACCCATTTGCTTTTAATTTTTTTTTAGTTTTAGAACAATGTAACCTTTTGGTCTGTTTTAATTAAAATACGAGTATATATTTGTTCCAATTAATGAAATATATACAGGATGTGCCTTAAAATAAGTGCACATATTTTTAGGATGAGTTTTCGGATGAGATCTCTATGAGCTTTTTGGGAAAAAGGAATTGTGAAAATTTTGTATTTTTAGAAAAAAAATTCAGTTAAAAAACATAATGTCTTGATAATATGGAAAAATAGATATTCGATTTATTGTACCGTGCTTTCATTGTAATTTGTCCCACTTTTAAAAGACTGTAAAATATTTATTTTTGAGTTAAAAGTTCGAGTGAAAAAAGAAATTGTAGTGTTTTTCCTTAAGTTTTCTGCCGTTGAGTTAAAAATTGTATAAATTGTCAAATGTCAAAATTATTTGCATAACTTACTTTTTTTTAAATGGTACACCCTATATATCATTAAATATTTAAAACGACTTTTTTTCTGATTACGAAAATATGCCACACTTGCCCTTTCTTTTCATTAGTTCAGCAGAAATTCGTATAAATATGATTAAAATTATAATTTTTCAACATCAAGATAACCTTCGTTTATTATTTTACTTCCAAAAATTGTCATGGTGTTAGTTGAGTTAGTGAGTTATATTATGATATAGAAAATTTTCTGGTTTGTAAACTCAGAACATTTTAGTAAATTACTCAAATCTAGGAGCAACAAATTTATTAAAACACAAAACGAAAAAAGAAAAGAAAGAAAGGGCAAGTGTGGCATATTATTTTCGTAATCAGAAATAAAACGTATTTTTAAATATTTAATGATATATAGGGTGTAGAAACAAAAACAAACAAATAAACAACGCTTTATTGTACAAAAAGCCAAAACAGCTTCATCGACAAAGCACTCATAAACAACAAAATCACAAAAAAATACAAACAACAAAAAATACACAATACAAATAATACAATTAAAAAAAAATTAAGTCTTTAAAATTACAAAAAGAATATACATGGACAATTTTAGAACAGTACGCAGTAAATAGATATAATTTTAGAGTTATAAAATATTAAATACTTGACCTTTAACCAGAGTGAGTTGATCAAAATTTTAAAATTCAAAATTGTCCATAATTAAACATCAACAAAAAAGTCGTTTACCGCATATAGGGCTCTCTCCAGTAAGTATGATTTTAGAGCTAGTACCATTTAAAAAAAAGTAAGTTATGTCAATAATTTTGACATTTGACAATTTATACAATTTTTAACTCAACGGCAGAAAACTTAAGGAAAAACACTACAATTTATTTTTTCACTCGAACTTTTAACTCAAAAAAGAAATATTTTACAGCCTTTTAAAAGTGGGACAAATTAAAATGAAAGCACTGTACAAGAAAGAAAACCCAGAATAAAACCAACGTTTCTGAAAATTTAAGCAATTTTTTTTTATTCTCAAAGTAAAACACAGATATTTTTTGGACTTATGTAAGACTCACTCTATATAATGAATATCCTAGACTATTTGTGGATAGAAGTTTTGGTTAGTGATTATACTACATCTTCGAACACAATGTTAAACTGGCTTACATGAGGAACGGCTTACATGAACTGTAAATAACTTAAAATACAGGGTAATAAGCTCGAGACGCCACAATTACTTGTCAACGGAGATGTCGTCAGTCATCATACAGCTCATATAGGTATGCTAAATTTATGACCGCAAGAAATGAATAAAATAATGCATAATGATAACAAAAAGAGGGAAGAACTTCTTTTGTTAGCACTTAGACAATACAATCGTTACAGGATATAGCCAGAATCTGAAACTCATTCTCTGAAACTTTTCAACTTTCCTATTGTGCATAGAAAACTTTAGATGAAAGTTCTATTAATTAAACTGGCTTTATATTTATTTTTTTCTGAAAAGAAAAGGAAATTTTTGATGCATTTATTAATATTTTATAATAGTTTATATTTTATATTGGTTTAAGTAACAATCTGTAATGCTACTGACTTTTTAAATCATATTTATCTACTGTCTGTCCAACGAGATAATGTTTGACAGTGACAATCATATTTTTTTAATACTCTTTTTACATTCCCAGTTATAAAAATTAAACAACCACTTTGCTGGAAAGTTAAAATCAAACTTGTTAAGAACATAAGAACGAGAGAAGTTACTTTATACTAGTTCGTTATTTGTTCGATCTGTCTTTATCTAGTTTCGTACATTCGAACACATACACGAGGGGCAAAAAAACGTATTTTATCGTCATTCGTGTATGTGATTACTTATTGATTTTGCATCAGCTGAATTCCGGTCCTTGCCGTGCGGTCGACACCATCGGAATAGAATGTTTTGTGCCCCCCGTGTCCCATTACAGACTCAATGAGCTCGAATTATTGCATCAGTCTTGTGTACAAATAGATCGATTCAAGGAGAAACATAGAATAATTAC